AATTCACCAAGACGATTCATGGCGAGACAAAGTTTGTAATTTATTTCGGGTATTTTTTCTCTTGTTTTAATACCCCCGAGAACCACGATTTCTTCCCCAGTCCCTTGATGAAATGGTGATGCATTGCGATTTATCTTTTTTAGATCTGAATTTTAATTTAAAGTTTTTTCTTTTTAAAGCAACATTAGACTTATAATTTTTTAAAAGGTCCATCATTGCTGCATCCCTAATGTCATGAGGTGTGTCAAGAACCCACTTAAGACTAATATCTTTAAATTTTTCAGATTTATTATTGATATAATTTTCACGTAAATACTTTTTGTTTTTGTTTTTTATTTCACTATTAATTGCAGCTAGGCATTGGATGTACATCCAGCGCGCAGTATCAATCCATTTTAATAGTTTGTTTTTTTCCTTCGAATTAGGGTAAGGCCTAATTTTATGAATTTTTCCTGCTGGAGATTTTTTAGGAGGCTGAAGATAAAGTAATAGCATCGAAAGAAGATGGTGAAGTTAAATTCTCTTTAGAAGAAATTCACAAAAAATGATTTTATAGAATTTAATATTCATGTCAAGAATTTTATGTAGATTGAATTCAGCAAAAAAAAAAAGAAATTAGAAGAACCAAGTTTACAACCTATTATTTATGAAAGTAAGTTATAGATATTATAGGAAAAAAATGTACAACTATATCATAAAAGAATTATTTGTTTCAATTCATCTAGGAGAGGATGTAATTATTATTTATTTCAATTCATAATAATGACCAATATGTAAATTTTGAATTAATTGACCAGAAGATGAAAATTATCTCAAGATTGCAAGCACTGATGGTACTACCACATACTATTAAAAAGTATGTATAATTATATTAATTATTTTTTTTTCTTTTTCCAAAGGACAAAAGTATATTTGGGGCATGCTGCAACAAAACCAGACAAAGTGAAATGTTGAAAATTGCTCAACACCACAACTGTAATGTGATTGCTTCTTACCTGTGATTTGTTTTCATCTCATTTTTTGGATCATTCAATATTCTTCATGTAAGATAATTAATCTAAAATGTTGTATTAAATTTTATTTATCAGGGTCTTTAACTTATTAGAGATTCTTATAGCCAGTGTCCTGCTTTTTTGTAGATAAGTTTTTCTTTTCTAAGGTATGAGATGCATTTGCAATTTTGAATGCCTCCACTAGGTTCGTATCTCATATTGAATCACTGGATTAAGATATCACAGCTCCCTTTGATGAATATCCTTTTCTTTTAACTTACTCTTTGATAAATGTAACAATATTTTTGTCTTGCGTGAAACGATGCGTAAAAATATCCGTGTAACATTCAATTAATATTAACGTTAAATTATTTCACGTCGCCTTTAATATCTTATATTTATTATTATTAATTATGTCCTATAATCATCCAGATAGATTGATAAGAATATTAAGAGTATTATTATTTATATTATATTTATATTATTATCAATGTATGTAATTCGTATATAAGGACATCAATCTAAATCAATAAAGATAGCTTTTGTAATTTTACAATAATTAAATTACTTGATCGTTCAATATTAAACATAATCATAGTAGTTATTTGGATTATTACAATAAAACATTGAGTTGTTATTTGGCAAATAATATTTTATGTTTTATAACCCAGTAATAATAATATTAAGGGATTTACTTTAAAGAGTTTTGAATAAGAGAGTTTAAAGAATAAAAAATTATATATTCCAAGCATAAATTCCTGAAATTTCACCATAGATAACTTTGAATTTATTTGCAGTCCTTGTGAGAGTCCCTTTCATGTTGACACGTCTTCCAATCCTTGCCCTGACAAAAGGATTCACATTTTCATTACATGTCTTATTTGTTGCAATAGCTTGTATTTCTCCTATTCTAATAAAAGAGCAGAAACAAGATTAAAACAGAATCCTCTACCACGATTACTTTTCGGCAAAGATCTCCTATATTTGAAAATTTTTTAACAGTTTTAATAGCATTTCAAAATGTTTAGGATTGTCAAGAAAAAATTGTAAATTATTTACCATTTAGTTCTTATATTATCAGACTCAAAAACACCAACAAATAAAGGCATTGCTGTGTACATCTTTAACTCTTTCTCTGTTGTCATTTCTTGCAGATAAATCATTTTGTCTTTCCTATATAATAATACAAAATGTTAACATAATAGATAAACAGAAAATATAATTCATAAAATACATACATGAATTGATATTGACATCTAATTTTTTAATAGTATGATCATTATCTAAATTATTAGTTATTATCAAAATATTTTTGAACATTTCCTGGTGCAGATTAAGGTTTCTGGTCTAAACTGTTTTCTCAAAGCCCAAACTAGTTTGGGCAATTTTGGCTACTAATAGAAGCAGTTTCGACCAGAAACCTTAAACCCTCTTCCAACATATACAATTTGAAAAATCTTGTGACAAGTTTTGAATTTCTTGATCTCTCAAACCACTTCCATCTAGACTTTCTTTTGTCAAATCTAATACCCCCCAATATGCAGGCCTAAAATACCAATTGAATAAAAAGTACAGTATTAATGAACATGGATTGATCTGCTTCAAAACAATGATGTTGAACTTATGTGAATGCTTGATGAGTTTTTGGTATTTTTTTTTGATAACTATGAAATGATTTGAATATATTTGAAACCAACAAAGCCTATTGAGATATGATAATAAACTTACTGTATAAACATTCATTCATAAGACATTGATATCAAGTTTTACCTTGTCAGGTGAACCATTATAATCATCATTTCTAAGTGGTAATCCAACTTCTTCTAATTAATTTTTCTTTTTTGAAATAATCGAATTTCAATTTTAATAATAATAATGATGACATAGCAAAAATCAGAAACACGAAAATTTGGCATGCATATATTCTACAGGACCTAGGCTACAAGCCATATATACTTATTATATGTGTTTTTGCATTATTGATTCTCTGAAATTTGCTGTAGTGTACCATTTTTGTTCTAATAAAATCTATTTGAATCTA